CCAATCCTTGTGGATATTACCCCTTCTTAAAAAAAATGAAGAAATTGATTTTAGAAGTTTGAAGAATGTTGGCTATACTTTGAACCTGAGGCTAGAGGGAGGTCCTCTGAGCTCTTTAAGTTTGATTACCCTGTAAAGTTATTTTCCATACTGATTTTACAGAGATGATTTTTACCTTTTTCTTTAATTAAAAGCCTTCTTTTTAAGAACCTGATTGATTTCTCCTTGTTTTAGATCCAAGGGGGTTGGATCTGTATTCACCAGAGAATTGGTGAAGGTCTCTCAAGGCTACCCAGGGAAGGGAATTAGCTTTGGGATGGTGGCAGCGGACCAGACCTAAGCTGGTAGTTAAGCTTAGAAGTTTTCATGCAGGCCCCCATATTTGTACCCTAAAGTTCAAAGTGGGGATACAGCCTTGACAGAGGGTATGTCTATACAGCAAAGAAAAACCCACAGCTGGCCCGTGCCAGCTGACTCAGGTTCGCGGGGCTTGGGCTGCAGGGCTGTTTCATTGCTTGGGCTGGGCTGGAACTTAGCTTGAATATGGAGATTGACCCTGTGCAATCCATGCTGAAAATCCTTAGAGACTGAACCCTGGGTCTTCATCTACTTTTCTATGGGAGTTGGGTTGTTTTTTTAGGCACTGGAGAAGGGCAATGAAGTGAACTCTAGCCTACCCAAAGGTTACAAATTGCATGAATAGCAAAAGCTTTATAAGCTTCCTTACTCAGTTTCAGCAATCCTTTTCCTCTCAGCAGCACTGAGAGGGGATTCTTCAAAGTCAAGTGCCAGTATGACACCATCTCTCTCTTTAGTTGCAGCTGCTGAAACCTGGGTTGGCACTGGTTTTATCCACTCAGCTCTTTGCCCCTTTGCAATGACAGAGTGAGATTTCAATATGACATCCTTCCTTGTTAAGTTTTTGACATGTACTCCTATTCTCATACTGGCGCCAGTGACTTTAACAAATTGAGGAAAAACCACTAGCCCACTGGGTCCAATTGTGACACCTGGATCTTCCAGCATTACAGCAGTCTTCAATTCATTCACAGCAAACTTCAGAATTCCTGGCACTGTTTTGGATGTGCCAGGTGGAATTGTCACTGATTTTCTTTCTGTCAAGACCACTTTAGCCCCTTCATCAGCTTCTTGCTGTAACCTCTGACTGAGTAAAAACTGATTAGAAGTTTCAGCCCACTCATTTGGTAATGAAAATCTATTTAAGAATTCAGGACCTCATTTCTTCTTACAGTCTTCTACAAGATGTTTCAGCACATTGGTGCCTATGAGCGCCAACACTTGTTGATTCATACGTTGGTCTGGACAAACCAAGACTAGTACCTCATGTTGTCTGTTAGTCCCACAGATGAACTTTGGGATCATATCTTCAAGGTTATATATCCCAGGTATGGAACCATTTGCCCTCCTGCCCCTTCTATCTGAAGTATACTGCCAATTGACTGTAACTTTTGATAAGATTCATGCTCATAATAGAAATTTCACATATGCAAGTAACTTGAGAACCAGTATCTATTAGTCAGGTACTCTTTATCCCATCTAAGTAAACATAGCCATGACAAGCAGGTCCCACTAACTTCCGGATGGCCTCACTGACACACCCATTTGGGTAACATCTGTGTCCTGAACCCATTGTCTAGCAACCTTGCTCTGAGAGTTGTTAGGTTTCTTTTCTTCCTGGCTCAAACTTGCTCTGATTTGAATGTCTACCAGTCAGTTACTGATGTATTAAGTTGGAGTCAGGAGAATTCGGACATTTATTTTTCAAAATATCCTATTATCCAACAGTTAAAACTAAGGATTTCTTCTGTTAATCTTGATATTGCTTGTTTATTAAATTCGTTGGGTCTCTGAGGAGTAAATTGTGTATCTGAAATGGGGATTTCAGAATTTGGCTGGGTCCGCTGCAGTCCTACCAACTGCTGCTCAGCCTGCAGATATTTCTCCTTCCAGTCTATTGCAGTAACTTCTTCAGGGAGCTGGAAGTATTTTCAGATGCCTTTATCAACTGCAAACTACTCCTACTCAATGGTCTTCCTTTTTCTTCTAGTTCTTGTTGAAGTTTTCTCTTTTGTTTATCAGAGTGCTCCCTTCCAATGGATCTCACCTCAAAAAGTAGCCTGGCATAAGAGACGCTCTTTTTTCTACAATTCAATCCTTTTTATTAAGCGCGTATTTAATAAGGATTCATGCCAACAACCACAGAAAAATTGATCTTGTATATGAGAGTCCAATTCAGTATCTTTTACCGCACCAGCCTCCAAAATTTCTTTGGCTAATGTGTGTAGTCTAGTCAAGTACGCAGAAGGTGGTTCTCTAGTGAGGTGGTGTTTCTCAGAAAATTGTGCCTTAAGCTCAGATGCGTTTATGACACTTCCATTTGCCTTCTCTAAAATATCAAAGCATTCTACAGTGGATGCCTTGCTACCAGCTTCAATGTTGGGGTAATAAACTTTCAATAACCTTTCTTCTTTTGACTTTGTCAGAAATCTCACTGTCTTCCATCATCTCTTTGGCTTGTGCTTGCCAAACAGGATAATCTACTTCTCCATTGGGTCTGGGTGAATTACCCGAAAAACATTTCAGTTTAAATTTCACATCAGTCACAGTTTCACTGGCAGATTTCACCACCCACTCTAACAAAAGATGTTGCATATCAGAAGGGAGACTCACAGCAGGAGTAGAGGCTTCTACTGGACCTCGGTCTTGTAGTAAGAGGAGGACCTGAGATATAAACCTTGGTATCAGAGGCCTAGTATGAGGCCTAAGGCCTGAACTAAAGTAATGGTCAAGACTTTGCTAACATAAAGCAAAGTTAAGCTTGAGCCAGAGGCAGGGCCTGCTCACAGAAGCTGGCAAGGAATGGGCTGATGTTGCATGAATATATATTTCCCTAGCAAAGTTAAAGTACAAACATGGTACCAAAACACACTGTACTGGAACATTCCACAGATAACATGGAACAGGCCGACCCATCCCAATGACAGGGGCAAAAGGGTAAAATGATGGATAGAGTTGTTTTGATCGAACCAATCTGTACAAGGTGAGAGGCGACACCTTACTACGTAGAGGGGTTGTACCTTGCTGCGTAGAGCGGTTGCACCTCAATACGTCAGGAGTGATGTGTAACTTGTTTGTATCTGTGTATAAGAATGCACCCCTGAGTGGATGTCTTTGTCCGGCCACGGGGGCAGTGGAAAGTCCCGCCACTGAGCCGGGTCCTTGCCAAGAGGCATCTATTAGTAGTATGTCCAGTAGACTAAGTAATCTGCAATTGTGTCCAAGGTCGCAATAAACCTAGTCGACGTGACTTTGCATCTTACTAGACTCTGTGGTTATTGGGGGTTCTCTTCGGGTCTGCTGTGTCAGCTATTTGCGCAAAGCTGGGGCAGCACACAGAGGGAACAGACGCACGCAGCCGAGTGATATCAACATAGGAGAAAGCAGAGCACCACACCGGTAGCATCTGACAACAGGTCTATAACTGGTGTAGCATCTGTTAATCACCTAGTCTGTCTTTCACCCACAGGTGTAACCACAGCCCATGTCTCAGTCTTGAACCCTCTGTCAGAATACACAGAATATCCCTGATACCTGCACTGAAGTACTCTGGGCACAGAACAAGTGGTTATAAATGGCAAAACCTCAAAATGAATAGGAATCAGATCCCATTTCTGCCCTAGCTTCTGCAACACACATTTCCTTCCCATGTGTATCACAGAAACAGAAACAAATTCACAGGGAATCACATTCTTTTGTTCTCCCTTCACCCTCCTCATATTAGTCACATGACCAAAGATTCTAATAGCCTTAATATATGCTGTACTATCAACAGGGGACACATCACTGACCAAAATGGCCCTACAGGGATCTAACCCTAATTGTATGCAAGTTTCCATTATCTTAATAATATTAATACAGTGCACATATTCAATAATATTCAATAACACCGAATTATTTTATAACTGCAATATTCCTCAAAAGAATTCAGAGGTGAGCTCTGCGCAATCCTCAAGTCCCTGTCTGTTCAGGCGCCAATTTGTAACCGTTGGGTGGGCTAGAGTTCACTTCATTGCCCTTCTCCAGTGCCTAATAACTCACCAACCCCCCCAGAAAAGTAGCTGGAGACCCAGAGTTCAGTCTCTAAGGATTTTCAGCAAGGATTGCACAGGATCAGCCTCCCCACATTCAAGTCCCAAAAGGAACTAAAGAAATGAATTTAATTAAATAACTTTATAAAATCTTATGATAAAGAAAAAAAATAATCTAATTTTTACAGCATAACATGGCAATTTTATAACCCACAGACATTATCTTGACAGTTATTCATAAACATAAATAAAGAAAACAAATTAAAATCTGAACAGTTCAGTCCCCACAGAAACACAATGAGAAGAAACTGAGAGTTCCCAAAAGCTTAGGTTTAGGTAACCTAAGTCTCAGTCTCAAGTCTTTGATCGCCAAATCTAAACAGTCTACTGAGTCTAAAACAGCATCTTCCCTCCACGTGCTTGTAGGCAGGGGCGGCTCCAGGCAACAGCACAGCAAGCGCGTGCCTGGAGAGGCAAGCTGCAGGGGGGCGGCCTGCTGGTTGCCATGAGGGCGGCAGGCAGGTGGCTTTCAGCGCCATGCCTGTGGAAGGTTCGCCGGTCCCGCGGATTTGGTGGCAATTCGGCGGCGGGTGCGCCGAAGGTGCGGGACAGGTGGACCTCCCGCAGGCATGCTGTCGAATCCGCGTGACCAGCGGACCGCCCGGAGGCGCACTGCCGAAAGCCGCCTGACTGCCATGCTTGGGGCGGCAAAAAACATAGAGCCGCCCCTGCTTGTAGGAATCTTCAGTTGGAATCCATGAAGAGTCTTCCTCTGCTGAAATCACTACTAGCCAGTCAGCTAACTGATTAACCAACCACTCAGATAAGTGTATAGATTCAAAGAAAATCCCGCTGCAAAATGCTTCACAGTTAGGAAATAGCCTGCTTTCTGCTTCTGGACTCAGCTTCTCCAAACTCACACAGGACACATGGCCTTTTGCAAAGCAGCTGCCCTGACTGCTTGCCCTCATAGAGTCTGACCCCAGCAACAAGGAACCTATTGGAGCAGACCCAAAACTACCACACCCAATTCCAGAAGCTTCTGGATATGGAGTGCTTAATCTGCCTAGCAACAATGACCCAGACACAACTCACTCCTACTCCCGCAATGGGTCTCTTAAAGAGATATCTCCCTATTAGGCACATGGGTCACACAACCTAGAGATATATATACACACATACATGGAGACCAACTGATCATTGTTCTCCTTATAACAGCCCTTAACATATATGAAGACTGTTATTCAGTGTGTCCCCACCCCTTCCCCTTGACGTCTTTTCTCAAGATGAAACATGTACATGTTTTTTGGCCTTTTCTAAAAGGTCAGGCTTTCTAAACCTTTTATCATTTTTGACAGGTTTCAGAGTAGCAACCGTATTAGTCTGTATCCGCAAAAAGAACAGGAGTACTTGTGGCACCTTGGAGGCTAACAAATTTATTTGAGCATAAGACCTAAGTTAATTGTATCTAATTTGCATATTAATTCAAGTTCAGCAGTCCCTCTTTGGAGTCTGTTTTTGAAGTTTTTTTGTTGCAAAATTGCCACCTTCAAGTCTGTCACTGTGTGTTTAGAGAGGTTGAAGTGTTCTCCCACTGGTTTTTGAATGTTATGATTCCTGATGTCAGATTTGTGTCCATTTATTCTTTTGCTTAGAGACTGTCCGGTTTGGCCAATGTATATGGCAATGTGGCACTTGATGGCATATATCACGTTGGTAGATGTGCAGGTGAACGAGCCCTTGATGGTGTGGCTGATGTGGTTAGGTCCTATGATGGTGTCACTTGAATAGATATGTGGACAGAGTTGGCATCAGGCTTTGTTATAAGGATAGGTTCCTGGGTTAGTGTTTATGTTGTATGGTGTGTGGTTGCTGGTGAGTATTTGCTTCAGGTTGGGGGGCTGTCTGTAAGAGAGGACTGGTCTATCTCCCAAGATCTGTGAGAGTGAGGGATCATCTTTCAGGATAGGTTGTACATCTTTGATGATGCGCTGAAGAGGTTTTAGTTGAGGGCTGAAGGTGACAGCTAGTGGCGTTCTGTTATTTCATTTGTTGGGCATGTCCTGTAGTAGGTGACTTCTGGGTACTCTTCTGGCTCTGTCAATCTGTTTTTTCACTTCAGCAGGTGGGTATTATAGTTTTAAGAATGCTTGATAGAGATCTTGTAGGTGTTTGTCTCTGTCTGAGGGATTGGAGCAAATGCAGTTGTATCTTAGAGCTTGGCTGTAGACAATGGATCCTGCAGAACTTGAATTAATATGCAAATTAGATACAATTAACATAGGTCTAAATAGAGACAGGGAATGGTTGGGTCATTACACTAACTGAATCTACTTCCCCATGTTAAGTATCCTCACACCTTCTATGGGCCATCTCGATTATCACTTCAAAGGGTTTTTTTCTCCTGCTGATGACACTGCTCTACAGCCAAAATGCTTCTGAAATAAATGGTGTCAGAGTAGCAGCCGTGTTAGTCTGTATCCGCAAAAAGAACAGGA